ATGGTGATTGGAGGTAAGAGTGTGGTGGTCTTTTAGGTGCTGCATGATGGATGGTGTTGAGGGGTGGTGATGGCTTATATAGAGAGGGATACAACCTAAGGTTTTGGTAGTTAGTAGAGTTACAAAGAGAGGAAACCATGAAAGAGAATGGGTATTAGAGCAATATATAATGATTTTATCTGTTCTAGTTTTCAATATTCATTTTATTTTATAATTAACTAATTATTGAAAAAATTAATTTTTTTTTGTATATGATATATTTATAATGCTTTGATCATTCAAATTATTAATATCAAATAAATATATAATTAATAAAGATGATTGTAAGTATATAATTAATGTATTGGGATGTATTCATTTTTGAAAAATCTATATAAAACAACCTAACTTTTATGTGTTTACATATCTAATACTTAAAGTTTTGTATTACATTTATAAACCTATGAATGAAAATGCACGTTTCACTTTTAAGAAGATAGTGATGGCGGTATTTCTGAAGTGATGTTTAAGATTTGAGTGATTTACATGTAAATAACTTAAATCAAGGATCTAAGGCATCTAATAGGTCATTCTAGATTCAAAGTCGACCCAAATAATCTATTAGGTTGTGGGTAGATTCTAAAGCGCCTTGCGGCTTTGTTCTAAGTTTGAATTAAATTAATTTTGGGTTGGCTTAGTCTAAAAAATGTGACTAAGGATGACTAAGGCAAGATAGTGTATGAAATAAACCATTTAATCCTATGAAGAGAATATTTAATCGGCTAACTGATAAAAGATTGGTTCTAAATTTGATTTGATTGTTGAGTAGAACTTTGGGTCCTAGTGGCTTGTCATGGCATTGGATCTACTATTTGGTTAGACCATTAAATATTAAGAGTAGGTTTAAGTTCAATTGAGTCATCTTAAGGCCAAGAGAGGAGGAAGAATCCACAACAAAAGTTAATTAGAAGAGAAGAAGAGGGAAAGAGCCTGCAAAGAATTTTATTTATGAAATGCTTGCAAGTGGAGTTATCCTTATTCCTTCATGAAGAAAGTAGTGTTAACTACTATTATGGTTCTAGCTAGAAAAAAAGCTCTCGATCATAATAGCAGAGACTAAATTTTATTTGAACTCCTATAATAATGAGAAAGAGAGTTAACCAAGGCAACAATATATAGTAGATAATTTTTTATGTCTGAATCTCATGTGCTTAGTAGGTGATTTCACTTTTTCTCAATTAGATAAATTTTTTTTTATGAATATTTCTAAATTTGTATAAAATATTATCCTTTATGTATTATTTCTTAAGGTTTAGTATATTATGCACTTTCTATGTGGCTGCGGGCGTCGACTTATTTAGGCTGAACTACATAAATTTTTGTGTTATGTTTTGTGGAGTGAAATCTAGTATACTTGCCCTTGAGTTGAGACATTCCTTTTTCTATAGTTGATTTTAGAGCATTATTATGAAAATATGACGGGCATGAACTTTGACATTAAATATTTAAATGGATAAAAAAATCTTGGTCTTTAAAGAAGCAAAATGCATGGGGTACTTCTTCAACCAAGATTTGTAATGATACTCATGGAGCCCTACAAAAGGATCTAAGGCTACGAGTAGAGAAGATAAGATAGAGGTGAATAAGACGACTTAATTAGAAATTTACGTATGTTAGACTGTTGAGGTTTTAATAAAGGTCTATAAAAATAATTGCAAGAGATTTGTTGCTCAAGGCAGAGTTTTTATACATGACCAAATGGCTCATCAATAAATTTTATTAAAGGTAAAAACTATATTTCTCTCACAAGTAGAGCTCTATACCAAATCAATTACATTCAAATACGTTTATTTTTTTTATTTGAGATTTAAGAAATGCTAATATGCACGTTGATGATGAAGATATAGTCCTATTACTATTTTACTCTTTATCACAAGATCATTTGAGATATTATATTATATAGTTATAAATCATTAAGCTTAGAGAATATCAATAATTTATGCTTTTCAAATGAGATGATTTCGAGTCTAGAGAGCAATATTAATTGAATGTTGGTTACATATTAGAGGGAGATTCAATGAGAGAGGTTTTCATTCTATCATGATTAGAGTAAATCTCAAAATAAATTTAATAAGATTATTTATGTTTATTATAACAATAAATTTATAAGGATTTTGGAGAAAATAATACTAAAAGATTTGTGGCTCAAATTAGTCCTTGCATATAACTATAAGTTTCTCCAATAAAATTTCTAAGAAAATAAAGAATTCATTTACTTCACATGCACAAAAAAGGGTACAATTTTTACATTATATTTGAATGAATTTAATTCTATTAATTGATATATATGACCATAATCCCCTTAAATAAATTTTATCAAAATTAGAGACTTCGTTCACTTCACATATATGAAGGTACACAAATTCAATCATATTGTAATTAGTTTGAATCTATTATTTGAGACTTATTAAATATTAATATGATTGCTACATCTTTATTACAAACACTTTTAAGATACCGTATTATATGATCATCATTATTGATATTAAAAATTTACTTCATTTAGAAGAGGTGATTTTTAAGCTCAAGAGAAGTACCATTTCAACCAATGAGGCATTGCAAATAAGAGGATGATATTATGAACGAGGATTCTTTTCTAATTATGATGGATGTAAATCTCAAACTAAATTCAAAGCTACTTCTTATTTTTCTTATAAAAAATAGCTTATCAAGCAAAATCATTTTACTTTGAAGAAGAGAGAGCAAAAACTAAATGACGACCATAGAAATGACATGCGAAAAGATGCAAGTATTATTGTAATTTCTTTTTATTATAAAATTGGCGGCGCATTTTTGGTGTCTAAAGTTAGTGTATGAAGGTGTTTAGGAATTTTAGACCCAACGTTTTAAATTTTTATGCTTTCGAATTTAGAAATATTTCACATGTAAGCCAATTTATAGTGGAAATGTTTGCATATGATTAATGTGTCTAACACATGTTTTGAAGACCCACAAATAACCACCAACCTTCGTAGCCTCTGACTACCGTCAATCACTGGCAATCACCACATGTCGTCATACTCTGTGGCGGCCGACCACCGGTCTTCGGTGACCCCTGCTTGTAACTGTTGTAGTTCAAATAAGATTATTGTGTCAAGCACTTATATTTTGTTTATTTCGTATAAAAGTAAGTGTAACTCTATTCTCCTATTGGAAGAGAAGGGCACACTATTGTACTTATAAACACATTGTGGAGTTACTTTGATTAGGCTAGGCCATGTGCCTTTTTTCCATTTCAAAAAAAATTAAACTAATAAAATTTTAATCTCCTCCTATTATATTTTATTATATGTGTATATGTTAGATCTTCTCGCAACACTAAGGCGTTAAACAATCACTCTACCACTATGAATTTTTTGACCCGTAATAATTGGCACCATCTTTTAGAAAAAAAAATTCATTGATAGAAGTTTACACTTCTTTTCCTTGACAAAGCATCCTCCTTTGCACTTGAAGATCAGATGCGAAGAATGAATAAATCTTAAAATGAGATCCTTCGATTTTTATGGAAGACTCGACAACCGACGATAGTGCATACTAAAGGGGTGCAATTACCACAAAATCCACAGATTAGAGGTACATAAATAGCACCCATTCCACATACTGAAGTTTCTCCTCATGAAATTGACCACATAGACATAACTAGCTTTATACATTGATCTCATGTGGTTAAGCTTAGCAGCAAGCCTCTAACACACAAGGATAACTTAGTTTGACCTCACATAATTTGTGATGAGTTGTGTTGTCTAGTACTAGAAGAGTTCTCTCTATAAAGGATAAAAAATCAATTTTCTACTCAGTGTAATTCTTAAGCAACTTTTTCGTTAGTTGAGATCATCCTATTTCAATAAAGTTCAAGCTTCCAAGCATTGAGTATTATGATGAGACACCTGACCCATATGTTATTCTTGATTCTAACAAGATAAAAAACTTTTGCTAATAATGAAAAATGATTCTTTTTAATTGGCACTCTTACAGTATTGGAGAAGAGAGCAACTGGAGCTACAACACCACCTCCTTCTTTGTGTTTACCCTTGTCCTCAAAGCCGGCGACTTTTTGAATTAGATGAAATGGTATTTGTATTCATATCTCCAATTTCATAAGTATAATCATTTATGTACTCTTTCATATTTTAGTTGACTACTCCATCTTTGTGTAGTTGTGGACATAAGATTATTTAAGTCAAATCACATAAATTTGTCTTATCTTTTGTGATAATTGAATTCTTTTGTAGTTACTTTATTTAAGCTCAAGAAAGCCTAACTCGACTCGTTAACTTGTGAACCGATTGGTTTAAACAATTATTAATATAAAATATACAAAATATATTAAATTAGAAGTTATTTTTAAAATATTAAAAAATGTTTAAAAAATAATACTTCGTATTTCATATTTTTTGTCATTTTATTCTAACAATGCCTTAAATTAATATTATTCTCTCTCTTTTATAATAAACAGATCAACTTGTGAACTGACTTGAACTTGTCGACTTAAACTCGAGCTCAAACTCGATAATATTAATCAAGCTCAAGCTTAAACTCAAGTCAATGATGGCTCGAGCTCGACTTGTTTACACTCCTAAGTGAACCTGCTTAGCCTAGTTAACTAATATTAGCCTATTTGGGCCCTACGATGGTAAAATAATGTGGCTTTTGTTGAAGTTTATCATCAGCTCTAAATTGGCTTCTTTAAGATAATTATATTTGACTCATTTGGAGAATTACTTAGTTGCCGTCAAAATGAAATGATAATCCATTTATAGGCTGCAATGAGGTATAGAAAATAATATGGCTAATGGATGATGTTGCCATAAGTCTAAGACTTAGTATGGTTAATGTACTCGTTAAACGAATGATATTTTTGAAAAAAGGTATTGAACAATTAACTAATAGTT